CGGAATCATTATGGGGCAAAATTAATCCAAAAGAGTTTGGTACCAGAGCACAAAGAGATACAGTGAAAAATCTGCAAGCGAAAAAGAAAAAGGCCCAGAAATCTGCAGATGCTGAAGAAAAAAGGAATCGACGGAAAGAAGAAAAGTTAGTATGCATTTTGAAATATTTTAAAACCTTATTCCTTCAAGATTAACGTAAAATCTTAATTTTGTAGTGCGCTGAGGAAGGCATATGGTTATTCTAATGTTCTCGCTGCTACAGAATATTTTGATGGCTTGTCTTATAGACCGAGAACTAAAGAAACTCGTGAAACATATGAATTAATTTTGGCCTTTGTTCACCAAAATCTTGGTGATCAAGCACAAGATGTGATTCGTAGTGCAGCAGACGATATTTTACAAATTTTAAAAGATGACAAGCTTAAAGATTTTGATAAAAAAAAGGAAATTGAAAATGTTATTGGAGCCATAACATCAGATCGATTTGCACAATTGGTAAACCTTGGAAAAAAAATTACTGATTATTACTCAGGAGATAAAATGGACTTGGATAAGGATAATGAACTTGCTGGTGAGATTGATGATGAATTAGGCGTAGCAGTTGTATTTGATGAAGAAGATGAAGAGGAAGAGGAATATGGAAAATATGAAGTAGAATCTGAAGAAGATGAGGATGAAGGTGGGGTAGAAGCAGAAACTACTGGAGTTTTGGGTGTGGGCCAAATTGAAGAAGAAAAAGCATATATGTCAGAGGATGATGAAAATGAAGGTTTTCGGACTGTTATTGCGCCAGAAACTACAAAGTCAAAAAAGATCGTTGGCTCGCAAGACGTTCAAAAGATTACACCTCATGATATAGACGCTTTCTGGCTTCAACGTTTAGTGTCAAATTATTATTCAGATCCACATACAGCGCAAGACAAAACGTCAAAGACTTTACAAATTCTTGAATCTAATATTAACACCCGAGATTGTGAAAACGAGCTAATGAATTTATTCGATTACGACAAATTCGACCTTGTTAAAGTTTTAACTCGAAATAGAGAATTGATTTTATGGTGCACAAAACTCGCTAAAGCTGGTACCGATGGAGTAGAGCGACAAAATGTCGAGCATGAAATGCGAGAACGTGGGTTAGAATGGATCCTCAAAGATCTTGGTGGAGAAAGAATCCGTCGCGGTGAAGGTGCTGCACGGAAGGGCGTAGTCGAAGATGCAATGGAAATTGATGAAAAACCAGCTGTTGCGCAAGGTCCTGTGCCCGCGGCAGTTAAAGCTACGTTGCCACCCACGACAGTTGTACCAAAAGCATTAGTTGACCTCGAATCGTTAATGTTTGCTCAAGGTGGACATTTAATGTCTAATAAAAAATGTAAGCTTCCCGATGGGTCATTTAAACGTTCTATGAAAGGTTACGAAGAGATTCATGTGCCGGCACCGAGGCCAAAACCTTTCGCTGATGACGAAAAACTCATTTCGATTAACGAATTACCTGAATGGGTACAACCAGCCTTTAAAGGCGCGAGGACACTTAATCGTATTCAAAGTAAGCTGTATCCAGTCGCATATGGTGGAGATGATAACTTATTACTCTGTGCTCCAACTGGATCAGGTATCCTATAAGTTCATTATTTAGTTTAAAAACCGTGTATTTTTATTTTATTCTATTACTAAAACTTGAAATCATATTATAGGTAAAACTAATGTCGCCATGCTTTGTATCCTCAACGAAATCAACAAGAATCGTGATGAGAATACTGGCGCTATAGATACTGAAGCATTTAAGATCGTATATATTGCACCGATGAAGGCTCTGGTGCAGGAGATGGTTGGAAACTTTTCATCAAGACTTCAACCTTTCGGTATTAAAGTATCGGAGTTGACTGGTGACCGACAGCTTACTAAGCAACAGATAGCTGAAACACAAATAATAGTCACGACACCAGAAAAGTGGGATGTAATAACAAGAAAAGCTACAGATCGAAGTTATACTAATCTTGTTAGATTAATCATCATTGATGAAATACATTTACTCCATGATGATCGTGGTCCAGTTATAGAAAGCATTGTTTCACGCACTATTCGTAACATGGAACAAACACAAGAAATGATTCGGTTAGTGGGTCTTTCAGCAACGCTTCCTAATTACGCTGATGTAGCTAGCTTCCTACGTGTAAACCCAGAAAAAGGGTTATTTCACTTTGACAGCACTTTTCGTCCGTGTCCTTTAAAGCAAGAATTCATTGGAGTTACTGAAAAAAAGGCTATCAAAAGGTTTCAAGTTATGAATGAAGTAACTTATACTAAAGTAATGGATCAAGCTGGTAAAAACCAAGTGTTGATATTTGTACATTCACGTAAAGAAACTGCAAAAACTGCAAAAACAATTCGAGATATGGCATTGGAAAAAAATACGATTGGACAATTTCTGCGAGAAGATTCTGCTAGTCGCGAAATTTTGCAAACTGAATCAGCAACTGTCAAAGATGCAAATCTTCAGGATTTATTACCTTATGGATTTGCAATTCATCATGCTGGTATGACTCGAGCAGACCGAACATTGGTAGAAGAACTATTTGCAGATGGACATATCCAAGTTCTTGTCTCTACAGCAACTTTGGCTTGGGGTGTGAATTTACCCGCACATTCAGTCATTATAAAAGGTACACAAATATACTCCCCTGAAAAAGGCCGTTGGGTTGAATTAAGTCCCCAAGATGTGCTTCAAATGTTGGGTCGGTCCGGTCGTCCTCAATTTGATACATTTGGCGAGGGCATAATAATAACTTCACACACGGAACTTCAATATTATTTGTCTCTGTTGAATCAACAATTGCCCATCGAAAGTCAATTCATCAGCAAGTTAGCGGATAATTTGAATGCGGAAATAGTTCTAGGTACTGTTCGAAATCGGGACGAAGCAGTACAATGGTTAGGATATACATATTTGTACATAAGAATGTTACGTAATCCAACTTTATACAGTATTTCTCTGGATCAATTGGACGAAGATTCTTATCTTGAACAAAAACGAGTCGATTTAATCCATTCTGCGGCTTTATTGCTAGATAAATCCAATTTAATAAAATATGATAAAAAGACTGGTAGATTTCAAGTGACAGAATTAGGCCGAATCGCTTCTCATTTTTACATTACCCACACATCAATGGCAACTTATAATCAGCATTTGAAACCAAACATGGGTCATATCGAATTGTTTCGAGTATTTGCACTTTCTGATGAATTTAAGTATATACCAGTACGAGAAGAGGAGAAGTTAGAGTTGTCAAAGTTGTTAGAACGTGTACCGATCCCAGTTAAAGAAGGCATTGAGGAGCCGACTTCTAAAATAAATGTTCTTTTGCAAGCCTACATTTCACAACTCAAACTAGAAGGTTTCGCCCTGGTTTCAGATATGGTTTATGTTACTCAGTCAGCAAGTAGAATTCTCCGAGCAATGTTTGAAATTTGTCTCAAACGTGGTTGGGCACAATTGTCGAGGAGGGCTTTAGATTTATGTAAGATGGTAGAAAAGCGCATGTGGCTCTCAATGTCACCTTTACGCCAGTTCAAACAAATCTCCTCGGAAGTTATCAAAAGAATTGAAAAAAAAGATTTTCCCTGGGAAAGATACTTTGATCTTAATCCTCAAGAAATAGGTGAACTCGTTGGCATTCCAAAAGGTGGCAAAACTATATACAAGTATGTGCACCAATTTCCAAAACTAGAATTGCAAACATTTGTACAACCCATTACTAGGTCATTGTTGAGAGTCGAGCTCAAAATCACACCTGATTTCCAGTGGGAAGAACAAGTTCATGGAACAGGAGAAGCGTTCTGGGTATTGGTTGAAGATGTAGATGGAGAAGTCATTTTATATCATGATTCCTTTATTCTCAAGCAAAAATATGCCGAGGAAGACCATATAATAACATTCACAGTCCCATTATTTGAACCACTTCCACCTAACTATTTTATCTCTGTGATAGCTGATCGATGGTTACACTGTGAAACAAAATTGCCCATTTCTTTCAGACATTTGATACTGCCAAAGAAGTATCCACCTCATACTGAATTGCTCGACTTACAACCCTTGCCTGTTACGGCTTTACGCAATCGAGAATACGAGGCTGTATATAACGAATGGGTTGATAAGTTTAATCCTATTCAAACACAAGTATTCAATGCATTATATAATTTAGATGATAATGTATTCGTCGGCGCTCCTACTGGAAGTGGAAAAACAGTATGCGCTGAATTCGCACTTCTTCGTTTGTGGTCGAAGCCAAACTCTGGAAGATGTGTTTATATTGCACCATTCCAAGAGGTTGTTGACCGTCAATTGATCGAGTGGAGACAAAAATTTAGTAAACTTCAAGGTGGAAAAAATATAGTGTCACTTACCGGGGAGACAAGTGCGGATCTTAAATTGTTAGAAAATGGTGACGTAATTTTCGCTACACCTACTCAATGGGATATTATGTCTCGCCGTTGGAAACAACGAAAAGCCGTTCAATCCGTAGCATTGTTCATTGCTGATGAATTGCATTTAATCGGTAGTGATGTAGGACCAACTTACGAAATTATCGTATCACGAATGCGTTATATTGCTCATCAAACAAAAAATCCGATTCGTATTGTTTGTTTGAGTACATCTCTAGCTAATGCTCAAGATCTTGGTGAATGGATAGGCGCAACGCCACATACCATTTTTAATTTCCATCCTAGTGTCCGTCCCGTACCGTTAGAAATCCATATCCAGAGTTATAATATTCCACATTTTGCTTCCCTAATGATGGCTATGGTCAAACCTACCTATGCCGCGATCACCACATATTCGTCTGATCGACCTGCCATTGTCTTTGTACCGTCGCGTAAGCAATGTCGTCTAACTGCCGTTGATTTGCTCACATATTGTGCAGCTGATGGAGTAACGGATCGCTTTTTACATGCACATTCTAAGGATGTTGAAAGTCTTCTAGATAATGTCAAAGACGAGGCTTTGGCTGAGACCCTCCGTCATGGTGTTGGCTTTTACCATGAAGCACTTGGAAAGCAAGACAAAAGAATTGTGGAACAATTATTTGAGAGCGGAGCAATTCAAGTTGTTGTTGCGTCACGAGATACTTGTTGGGGCCTGAATCTGAGTTGTCATATGGTTGTCATTATGGGTACACAATATTTTGAAGGTAAAGAGCACCGATATGCGGATTATCCAATTACGGATGTACTTCAAATGATGGGCAGAGCCTGTCGACCACGTCAAGATGATACTGGTCGTTGTGTATTAATGTGTCAGGCTATTAAAAAAGATTTTTATAAAAAATTCTTGTACGAAGCCCTGCCCGTGGAGTCACACTTAGATCATTTCTTACATGATCATTTTAACGCCGAAATTGTAACAAAAACTATCGAAAATAAACAAGACGCTGTAGACTATCTTACATGGACATTTTTATATCGTCGTATGGTCGAAAATCCAAATTACTACGGTATGCAAGGTTCAGATCATAGGCATTTATCAGATCACTTGTCCGAATTAGTGGAAACAACTGTAAATGACCTCGCGGCTTCAAAATGTATTATGCTTGAAGATGAATTGGAAGTTTCACCACTTAACTTGGGCATGATAGCAGCTTATTATAATGTCAGTTACATTACGATTGAAATGTTTAGCATGAGTCTTAATGAAAAAACGAAACTCAGAGGACTTTTAGAGATTATTTCTTCTGCGGCGGAATTTGAAACTATTCCTGTTAGACATCATGAAGATAATGTTCTCAAGAAAATATATGATCGTCTTCCAGTCAAGCTCGGTAATCCTAAATTTAATTCCCCACATATTAAAACAAATATTCTTTTACAAGCACACTTTTCAAGAACACAATTGCCACCAGATTTGCAATCTGATCAAACTACTGTTTTGGGCAAGGTTTGTCGATTTTGTTAATTATCTATAAACTATAATAATTCATATCTTCGCTAATAGCACTAAATAACTTCATGATATTACAGGTTATTCCTTTAATTCAAGCCGTTGTTGATGTAATAAGTTCCAATGGATGGCTAAACCTTGCATTGTCAGCTATGGAACTAGCACAAATGAACGTTCAAGCAATGTGGGATCGGGATTCTCCACTAAAGCAGATTCCATATTTTACTTCTGAAGTAATTAAACGTTGTGAAGATCAGGGTGTTGAATCCGTTTTTGAATTTATGGAACTCGAAGACGATGTTCGTAATGATATATTGCGTATGGACGTGCGACAATTGCGTGAGGTCGCTCGCTTTGTTAACCGGTATCCGAGTATTGATTTTAAATTTTCTGTGAGAGATGAAGACGATCTCGTTTCTGGTTCTCAAGGCGTCCTAGACATTAAACTTCAACGTGAAGTCGAAGATGAAGATGAGGAATCTGTGGTTGGGCCAGTTATTGCACCATTTTTCCCTCACAAAAAAGATGAAGGATGGTGGATTGTTATCGGGGACACTTCTAAAAACTTATTACTTGGTATTAAACGAATTACTTTGAATAAGTCGTTAAATGTGAAATTGGACTTTACTTGTCCCTCGGAAGCTGGTGAACATCTTTTAAAAATTTATTTTATGTCAGATTCGTACATGGGATGTGATCAAGAATTTGATCTTCAAATAACAGTCCAAGAAGGAGCTGATGATAGTGAAGAAGAGGAGGGTAATGCTTCGAGTTAAATAGGTTGTGACCAGTTTTGGAAATTCGATGTTCTCTTGAGAATATTTCTTTTAATTTGAGAATATTTTTTTTAATTTGAGAACATTTTTTTTGAACCATTTATCAAATTAAAATATTCTCTATAAAAATTTTTTTTTTGAGAGCATAAAGTTTGAAAAAATTAAATAAAAAATTAAAATTATCAAATTGTAATTGAATTTTATTGATCTAAATGTTTAAATTATTCGTTTTTTATTTTTTTATAATTGATTATAGTCATACTCTATAGTTATCTTCTACACGTATATACTGTATATAATCTAGAAATAGCAAATGTTTTAAACATCATGTTTTAAAACATTTAAATTTTTTAATAAAAAACAATAAAAATCAAATATTCATTTATTAATCTATTAGATTAAAGAATTTTAATTACATGATTATACTGTATCTAAAATAGCCACCTATATATTTGAAGTTGCTACTTTAAATATATACTATATACAGTATAAATACAGTACTAATTGGTAGTTAGAGAGAAAAGTACAAATTTAGATTAGCTATATAGTGAGAGTACAAGATAGCTATAGTGGGTTTTAGCTCATAGGAAGACTTTCGTATGATTGGCTGTTTAAATCAATTTAAAGTACTTTTAAAAAAAACAAAACTATGAAGAATAAACAAAAAAGGAGTATATAAAAAGTTTTATTAGAGTTGTAAGACTTTACTATTAAAAAGTGTCTTCTTCACTTTTTGTTTTAGAGAAGTTAGCATAATAGCAACTTCTTAAAGATAGATTGAATTAGGTTATCATCATGCTAACTTCTCTAAAACAAAAAGTGATAGATATTTTTTAATAGTGAAGTTCTACAACTCTAATAAAGTACTTCTTTTTTGTTTATTCTTTGTAGTTTTTTTTTTTTTTTAAAAGTACTTTAAACTATATAAATAATATAAAATTAAATTGATTTAAATAGCCAATCATACAAAAGTCTTTTTATGAGGTTTTAGCTATAAATAAATATATATAGTTTGTATAACTTAATATCCTAGGTTTTTTTTTTTTTTTTTTTTTTTTTTTTTATTTATTAATATAATGCCATAGTAGAAATTTTATTACAAAAAATCTAAATTAATCTAAAGACTAATAGTTTTCTCATTTTAGACTAAATTTGAGTAAGGGGTTAGGTAAATCATTTGATCAGGCTGACAAATCCCTTCAACTTGGCAGTAGCTAAGTTAGAGAAGGTTTGGCTTTTAGGAAGAATTCCTATGATTAAAGATTTCTAACTACATTTGTGCTACAAAAGCACCCAATGTGACATTACACCCCCTATTTCCTATTTAAATACTATATTAGTTTTACTAAGTAAAATAATTCTAGCTAGGATAGGTTGGAAAAAAACCCTTTGGTAATAATCATGGCATTATAAAAAGTATGTTAGTAGAGAAAATCTTTGTAAGTACTATTTTTCAATAGTGTTATATGCATTGATTGGATAAGAATGAAATGTATTTATATTTTTTTGGTTATAGGTTAGTGGTGAAGCTATTTTGGTACGTTTAACTTTTTGTATAATGTTGCGAGCTAGTTCTTATTGATATTGTAAAGAATTCCGTTGGAATCATATTTCCTGGTAAAACCAGTTTAGGAGATTGTTAGAAAGATTAGTAAGGAACAGATCAGTTTGTTTTTTAAGTAGAGTTTTGATATTATGATATATTTGGTTGGAATATATTTCAAGAATAGTGGGAAGAAGAAAATCAGGTTGGATAATAGAAGAATGTTGTATAAGAAGTGAAAGAGAATTAAGAAGGATAGTAGATAAGATTTGAAGTTGAAGTTGATAGAGTGTATTAATAGTTATATTAATAAGTGATTGTTGGATATTATCTGTATTTTTAGAGTATAGAAGTATATGAAGAGTGTTTTTGATTAAAGAACATTTGCAATACTTATTTGTTGTATATAGATTTGAATAACAAACATTAAGATTTTGTATTGTTAGAAGATTATTTGTTAGGATTTTGATGTAGAAAGAGTATTTGGAAAAGTTATATTCTAGAGAGTTAAGGATTTTAAAGACTAAATTCTAGTTTATATTTGAGGTATAATTGTTAAAAAATTTAAGAGAGGACCAGGATATAAGTTCTTCGATAGTAATAATATTTTTGATGAAAGTGTGTGTTTTGAAAGTTATAATATGATTGTTCCAGAGAAAATAGGTAGGAAGATTAAAATATGTATAAGAAATTTTAAAAATAGGTTTATTTGAGCCTTGTTTGGCTAGTAGATTGGCCTGGTTGTGAATAAAATTTTTTGAATGTGATTTAACTTTAGCAGGAATAATAGTAATATTTTTGGTTGATTTAATAAAATTAATAATTGTGACTATATTCTAGTTTTTGTTTTGAATAAGTTTTGGAGATGAGAGATTATGTAGATTGTTAATTGCTGCTAGGTTGTCAATAAGAATAGTAATTGTAGAGTTAATCAGTAAAACTAAGAGAAGAGAAATAACTGCACTTAGTTCAGAACGGGATGAATCTGGGGAGGGGTAAGTTGCTGCATTAAATTTAATAGATAAATCATTTTCACAGATCTAGCCAATGCTAGATTGTATATTTGGGGTTTGAAGATTTTGGAGGCATCGGTATAAAACCAAAATCTAGTTGTGTTTAAGTTTAGAATATTGTTATATATTTGAGTTAATAGATTTTGATAATAGGGGGTTTTAATTATATGATATATCAATTGTATTTCTCGGGAGAGAATATGTATTTGAGGTTGTTATAAATTGGTGGTTGGGGTTAGGTTTAAATGTGGGGAAATTTTGGCTATAGCAGTTATTTCTTCAAAGTCTATTTGTAGATAGAATTTGTTGAATTTTATTTGCTTATATGGAAGATTTATAGATTCGAAGTTGGATAAAGAATTGGGGATTTCTATTAAGTTTATTTGTCTAGTAGGTGTTTCATTTATTTGATTGATTTTGTATAAGAGTACATGCTGGGAGTTAGAGTATCAAATAAAGATTCTATTTTGGTTGATAGGGATGATTTGAAAGGAGAAATTTGTATTTAAAGGAGGTATAAGATCAGTTGTATTAATGAAACAATTTGTTGAAGGTAAGTTAAGATGTGGCCATATAAATTGTAGAGAGCTGTTTTGTATAATTTGTGAAAGACAAGTAAACCATGCAGGTTGATGGCTTTTGGTTGCTTTGTTTGTTCAAAGACAGATATTGTTTTAGGGCAGGAGAGATTTGTTGTTTGCAGTTGTGATTTGTTCTATAAATAAAATTTTATTGTTTTTAAACTATTAATTGTAAGGTTGTTAGGATTTTTAGGAAGTATATCGTATATTAGATGTGTATCTTCTGGAATAGAGAGGGGATAGGTTGCAATTTGAGGGAGTGGGAAAATTGTATATTATTTTTAGCTAGTTGTATCCTCGTGAAATTGATGTAATATCGTATTTATCTGAATAAAGCTAAGTGTCGGAAACCTAAGTGGTCACCTTAATATTAAAAAAAAAAAAACAAAATGAAGGCTCCATGATAGTTAGCTCAAATATATCTCTTAAATTATAATACAGACAAATTTGCCTGTGTTTTTATTAAAAAGTTTGATTTTTTTAATAAAAACTTATATATTAATTTTAGCTATAACCCAGAAGATTTAGATAATGATGGCTTTCTAATGCTTAATCTGAGAGTTTCTAAATCTTGTGAAGCCGTGCAAGCTGGGCATACGTGACTGCTATAGAAGACACTTCCTTTGTAGTTTCATCCCCAACATCATTAACCTCCTATGAACCACAAACAACACTACTTCTATCAAACCTAACTAACTAACCTCTTATAAACTTAAACTATAACAATAAACTATTTCCAGTTTCTGTTTCACAACTCGAAACTATAACACAACCAACTGAAGAACTAAGCTTCATAAACTCTCTTACTTGTTATAACAAGTTTCTTCTTTATCATAAACTACCATTACTAGAGCATCTACAAACTATCTTCACCTTTCTTCAATATATCAAACATGACTTTTCCTCCTACTACTTATCAGATCTTATTAAAATTTTAATTCTAAACAACAAAGATTAAAATAATAGTTATACTGAGGCACATATCTATTTTCCACATGAGCTATTTCCACTTCCTAACTATTTCACTCCACTCTTTTCTTCTCTACTTCATTGGTTTAGCTATGTTCCTCTTAGGTCAAACCAACCTCCCCCTCCAATATCATTACCTAACTCAATCTACTATTCCCCCAATCTTTCTTCTTCTTCTCAACCTCTCATATTATATATCAACTCCTTCTCTTTCTCTTCAACCTGATTATCTATCTATTTCTATCAAAATTGCCTTTCTATATATTAATGGTCTTTGCCAATCAAACAAAAAACTTTCACTCTCTGAAATATTTAACAACAACTCCTTTGATATTTTAGACCTCTCAGAAACACATCTCTCCTCTAAAGAAAGAAACTTCTTTAAAAACCAAATTCCAAACTTTAACAGTTTTTGGAGCTCTTTCACACAACCACACCAGGCTGGTATCAGTATTTTTATCCACCATCAAATTTCCAAATATATAGCATGTACTCACAACTATAAAGGCCATATTAATGGTCTAGATCTACATTTCAAAAACCAACCAATTTACCTACTCCAAATCTATATTCCCACTTATGAGAAAAAACAACTTTACAAAGAAATCCAAGAACAAATTATCCTGCTTATACAAAACTCAAATTACAAAGTTATAATTATGGGAGACCTCAAGGTGTTTCTAACTCAAGAATAGATCACTCTTCTCTTAAAAAAACATCCATTCCTGAACTTCAACTTATAAAATATCTACAATGTCAACAATTTAAAGATATTTATCATTTTTTCTTTCCCAATACATCAAACTTCGAGAGTAATTGAATGAACTCTTTCCGCTAATCCTCCGGCACAAAATTCAGTGAAGAAGCAACTACTATATAGAGTATCTTTTGCAC